TTTGTTGTTTTAACGTTTGTTCTTCAAGCCATAATTTGGTTTCTTCTGTGTTTGCAGTTCTTTTTCCAGAAGCGACAGAGGAAGTACAAAAAAGCTCAGGTGAGATAAACGACCTGTTGTTGGTAAATTTATCTTTTGAGAAAAAAGGGTCGTTGTCTAAACTTTTTTGGTGTGTCTGCTCTTTCCTCTAATTCAGCCAAGAGAGATGGAGCAAATGTAAAGCAGAGAGAGTGTGAAGAGTCGACGCATACAATCGCCTTTTTTGGATTACCATGTTCTGTTTTCTTCGCTGTGGGAGTGTGCCATTTTTATCTTTTGAGACTTGCAGATTGTAAATGAATAATCACCTTTTGTTTTTTGTTTTTTTTTTTGTTGGGGTGTCATTACTGCTACAATTTATTTATAAATCATGTAAAGTCTTAAAGCATCATCCCTCTGGTCTACATGCCATATAAGTACTGTGCATTTTTAAAGTGTGCCTGACATGCCTCATTTTAACATTAGAATTTAAATTCCACATCATAGAGTGTACAGTTTCTTACTTTCTATTGTGTTTGTTTGGATTGTTTGTAATAAAACATGCTTTAAAAGACACTGAAGCAGGTTTCTTGATGTTTTGGCTGTATTTTTCCACTGTTACCAGACTAAATGTGGGGGATGGGAACAAGATGGAGGAAACTACTGAACATGATGAGATGATTGAAGCTGAATTAAAGTTTTTAAGTGTGGGTTTTTAATTATTCTCCCCCCTTCCTCGATACTCCACCTCTCAGACATGTTTTGGTGTATTTCCTTAGAAGCGTAAACCCTCCGTTGTCTGGGAAGATGGCTGCTCTGATAGTAGTTGTTCGTAACAGGCACTTTGTTTAGAGGGGCAGGTCTGCTGGAGATCAGCTACTGCACGGGTGTGGCAGGAATTATGTGAATGTGCTTTGTAGTGGACTTTTGTATGTTAAGCAAAACTCAGATCTTAGCAGTTTTGTGCCACTATGGCCAAGATGGAAAGGACTTCTTTTTGTGTATCACACTGCCTCAGGTGAGACAGACAACCTTTTATTATAGGTAGTCATTTCTAGCTGCGCTCAGTCATTGGCGATGTGTTGAACCCGTCGAACAGGTTCCATCTCACTCACGAATGCATGCATATGCTTGTACTGAGACTGCCCTCGGTTTAAAATGTTAGGGCAGGAATGATTGACTGAGTCGGGTGAAAGGGCCAAAGTCCAAGTGGACTAAAATGGCAGACATCGTCTCATCAAACAGAAACTGAAGTTGGCGTTATCTTTCAATCTGAATATATAAATAAACCGCCTGGTTTCCTGTTGCAACATGTTTGTATTGCAAGAAGTATGTGGTTGGTTCTGTGAAGCTAGCGCTCGAGGAGGCCGTGCTTGTTTACACTTTTTCAGTGTGGAGCCTTCCTGAAGGTTGGAGCACATTTGAAAGAATACTGACCTAAAGAAGTATACCTTCCTGTTTATTGTGTGCATTTGCATTCTGTTTACAACATCAGCAGTTGACTTACTTTCTTTTAACCTCAGTCCCCACATAAAGCACAGTATCAGTCACCTGCTCTACCTTAGTTCCCTCTGGCCTCACCCAGCGCCTTCCTGTGAGCCCCGCCCCCTCTCTCTAGCTCCATAGCAACAGCAGCACAAAAGCAGATCTCTAACTTGTTCAGCCAGGTTAGGTATCATATAGCTTCTCTCCTTTTACCCTCCCCCACCCCTCGATTCTGTGAAAGACTGCAGGAATGAAGGCGTGCCGCTCGCTGTGAGGCACCTGTTGCAGGTACCGACATGTCGGTGTTCAGTTTGCTTCAGTGGGGCGAATTTAAAGCTTACTTTAGATTTCTACAGTTTCCTACAG